TAATCTTAGTCTCCCAAATTACGGGGTTGAACAATATATAATAATCCTAATCTTAGTCTCCTAAACTTGCTCGACAAGCTAGATAATTATTTACTTGTCCACTAAGCAAGTAATTATTCTCTTACCAATTAACTACTAATCATAAAAGGAATAATAATAATAATAATAATAATAATAATAATAATAATAATAATAATAATAATAATAATAATAATAATAATAATAATAATAATAATAATAATAATCATTCTCTATCAGTTTGGAAAATAATGAAGGTCCTACTTTAAGAAGGAGTGATCGTGGAAGAATTGCTCGTCATTTTCTCAAATTGAGGAGGATGTATTTCTTTGTACTTCTTTAGAAGTAGATGAATTGAACTCTTATAAAGAGGCAATGAATTCACCATATAGTTCAGAATGGAAAGATGCAATGAATGATGAGATGGACTCAATGATTAAAAATAATGTTTGGGAACTTGTTGACCTTCCACCTCATCGTCGATCAATTGGATGTAAGTGGATATTCAAAATCAAGCGTGGGGTGGATGGATCAATAGAAAAGTTCAAAACTTGTTTAGTAGCGAAAGGTTTTACCCAGATTGAAGGTATAGATTACGATGAGACATTTTCTCTTGTAGTGAGATTTGCCTCTATTCGTCTTCTTTTGGCCCTGGTTGCCCATTTGGATTTAGAATTATTTCAAATGGATGTAAAAACAGCATTCCTCAATGGTTCTCTTGAGGAAGGATATATATGGATCAACCTATTGGGTTTGTCCCAAAAGGTCAAGACAATAAAGTTTGTCGCCTCAAAAGATCCATATATGATCTCAAGCAGTCTTCCAGATGATGGTATCTCAAATTCCATGAAGCCATTTGTGCATTTGGTTTGACCATGGTTGATGAGGATCATTGTGTGTATGTCAAGAAAAGTGAAGAAGTAATTTTGTTTCTTTCTTTATACGTTGATGACATATTGTTGGCTGGAAACGACATGGGAATGATCAACGACACTAAGCAGTGGTTGTCCTCTAATTTTGAAATGAAGGACATGGGTGAAGCTAGGTATGTCCTAGGAGTGGAAATAATGAGAAATTGTCCTAAGAAACTTCTTGGTTTGTCTCAAGAAACATATATTAAAAGAATCTTAGAACATTTTCGAATGCATTATTCTAAACAAGTTGATACCCCAGTCGAAAAGGGTTTAACCTTGAGTCTTGATCAATGTCCGAAAAAAGATGAAGAAAAACATAAAATGAGCAATGTTTCATATGCTAGTGCAGTAGGAAGCTTGATGTATGCTATGTTATGTACACGGCCAGACATCTGCTTTTCGGTTAGCTTGGTAAGTCGTTACCAAAGCAACCTTGGGCTTGCACATTGGCAAGCTGTCAAGAGAATCTTACGGTACCTGCGTGGTACAAGTGATTTAGTACTTTGCTATCAAGGTGGGTCCTTGAAATTAAAAGGATACTCGGATGCTGATTGGGGTGGAGATCTGGATGAGTCAAAGTCAACTTCAGGATATGCCTTTTATATTTGGTGGAGGTGCAATATCCTGGTACAGTAAAAAATAAGATTGCATAGCCATTTCGACTATGGAAGCTGAGTATGTTTCCAGTTGTGTTGCCGTTCAAGATGCATTATGGTTGAGGAATTTTCTACAGGATCTCGACCTTACCCCAAAGTTTAATGAATCTGTAGAAATTCATTGTGATAATACTGCTGCTATCCAGTTTGCCCATGATCCGAAGTTCACAGAAAAACCAAGCATATCAATAGGCGTTATCATTTTGTACGAGACGCGGTAAAAAATAAAGAAGTTGTCATTAAGTATATACCCACAAATAAATTGATAGTTGATCCTTTAACTAAACCTATATGCAGAGATGCTTTCCAAACTCATGTGAAGAGTCTTGGTTTACGTAGGTTATAATTTTATTTTTGTGGGATAATGGATGTGTATAATGTTACACCGAACATATATGAAACTTGTTGTTCTTTGATATGTTATTTAGCATATGTTGAATAATTAGGCATGAGTAAAGATATCACCAGGCTTTTGATTACGCTTATCACACAGGTAATCGTCCTATCACATTAGTTGTGAGTAATAGGATAAGACTGTGCCATATTCATATTACGTGTATGTAGTATGGATTGTATTTATACTTTTGTTGTATAAATATACTTTTACAGTCGCCTTAGTAAGTCTAAGATGAGACTCTAACGAGTCGAATATGAAATAATCCTGATTTCATATCAAAGCCTTGAAGCCGAATCTCGCGTGGAAGATAAATTATTAAGTATATTTATCAAGTGACTCGGGTTAGATACTTGAGTAGTATCTATACTATAGATTTGTATAACATAGTAGAGTGACATGCCCATCGTAGTGGGAGCTATGTTATGACACGTATATCATACTGCGTGTGCTTTGAACGACCGTCAAAGATTGATAAATGATTCCCTACTTTGTCAAGGTGTGAATCCTATGGATTTTGTTGTCCAACATTGTACGAAGCCTTTTGACTTAGAACTATGTTATGAAATTGAGACTTAGTGTTGCTACTTTAATATGTCCTCGAAGAGCTATGATCAATACAGTTCGACGGAGCATGTTAAGAAAGCAACTAAGTTGAGATGAAGTTTCATTAGTGTCTAAGAAATAACTGATTCAAATTCACCACATTAGCCCGGGCGGTTATATTCGAATATAACCATGTTGTGTATAGCATATAGGGAATGTATATGCTATCGGTGATTTTTGAACAGTTAGAGGTTGTCGTAAGTATGAAAGTGTTATGTTAGCTAGATGGTGACTTAATATAACGTTGTTATTGTTGCATTTGGTCGCACGCTCCATTACTCATATGAGGCAAGAGATTTGCTAATAAAGATTTATTATTATAGTCTCAGCTGAAGTGGCCGAGTGAGAGTATTGTATTTAATTGATGTTATGTTGCATCAATTTGTAACATCCACTTAATGGTGGAGTTGTTACTAACATCCATTATGTATGGAGTTATGAAGTAGAGATTAAAGGCTTCATTTAGTGTGTAGTTTTATGAATGCAACTATAAATATGATGCTTTGTGCATCTTGAAAAATGAACAATACGAGACAAGAAAATAGTTGGAGAGATAAATAATCTTTATATAGTGCTTTTCTCTTGTTGAGCCGAAACCATCAAGGTGGCTTGGGTTTTAGAACGTGGAGGATACCGACGACTCTAGTAGCCGTCGGATAAAAGATACAGGCAAGTTTTCGCTTCCGCTACATAAAGGTTAGTCCTATATATATTTATATATGTGTTATATAAAACCACTAACAAGAGAATTATAGAAGTTAATTTTATTTAAATTTCTAATTCTTATTTTTGGTGTTTCATAATTTATGTTTGAATTTTAATACTTCATAATCCTACTAGTACGATACCCGTGTGCACATGGGTTTTTGAAAAAAAAATATAAATATATATATATAAATAATAAAAATGAGAAAATACAAATATCCCTCTCTATATATTATTTCAAAACGTGTTGAGCCTAGGTGACAGATTCTCACGCTTCGGATGCTGACATGGCGAAAATCTATGCTTCGTGATGTTGTTTTTATATTATTTTTGCTCTGGAGTTAGGTTTGGTATTAGACATAAATAACTTCACACATATATTCATTAACTCAACACCCATGTTGTACATGAGTATTAATACCAGAGCTGTAAACTAATCGAACGTTCGCGAACAAAAGCTCGTTCGAGCTCGTTCGTGTTCGACAAACACTCGTTCGTTTGTTAATCGAGCCGAGTTCGAACAGAAAATTAGGCTCGTTTAATAATCGAACGAACACGAGCTCGTTCGTAAACGTTCGATTATGTTCGTGAACATTAATTTAATATAATTTTATTTTATTTTTTATATATTTACATAATATTTTTATTAAAAAATCTAATATTAAATATAATTTTATTTATTTTATACATATTCAAATAATATATTTAATAAAAAAAATAATATTTAAAATTATTTTATTTTATTCTTTTCTTTTCGAGATCGAACGAACAATTTTTGAGTTAATCGAACATATTCGAAAAGTTTATATTTTCTAAATTATTCGAACACGAACGAACTCGAACTTTGACGAACAATTAAACGAACGAACTCGAACACGATTTTTTGCTCGAAAAATATATGAACGAACACGAACATTGTTCGAACATAAACGAACACGAGCTCGCATAGCCCAAGCTCGGTTCGGTTCGGTTCGTTTACAGCACTAATTAATACTTACTAGTTATAGTTTTATTGTAAAATTATAAAAAA